ACGCCTGCCACGAGATAAACGAAATGGGAGCGGGTGGCACGCCTACCACGAGATACAGGAATTGGGATCGGGTTGCACGCCTGCAACAAGATGTGAAAAGAAAGTGAAATCTGTCTTTGTTTTCCTTATTCTTGTTAGTGGTTGATTTGTTCCTTTATAATTCTCTTGATATTCTGTTTTACCTGTTATTCCCCGAAGCATATTTCTCCTTCTCATCTTTATTTGTTTATTCTGCTTTACTTTTCGCTGTATATTATATAACTGCACGAGTTTATTTGGTAGTCTGGTCCAAGTCTCGTCACTACTTCGCCGAGGTTAGGCTAGACACTTACAAGCATATGGGGTCGGTTGTGCTGATACTACACTCTGCACTATGTGCAGATCCCGGAGCAGCTTTTGGACCGTAGTGTGGAGGCTACCTTCAGTCCACGCGGAGATCCAAGGTAGACCTGCAGGCGTCCGCAGGCCCTGACGTCTCCTCTATTCCTATTTCCTGTTTCCTTTTCCTTTTATTCAGAAATAGTGTATTGTCATTTTCTTCAGACTTTGTATGTGGTAATCTTTTAGACAGTCTGTGACACTGTGACACCAGGTTTTGAGTGGTTAAGGCTTAAGTATTTGTAATAAATGCATTTTCCATAAATCTTATTGTTGTGTTCCGCTTAAATTTGAATTTTCGTTGTTACCACGTCATCGTCTTATATTTGTTAAAAAGAAACAATTGGTTAATGAAGTAAATAGATTAAATGTTTGGCTTGCCTAGCTCACATTAGTAGGCGTCATCACGACTCCCGAGGGTGAAAAATTCGAATCGTGACATTATTGTCATTTTTTTATACTGAAATTGACTCTCAACATTTTATCACCATACCTTTTCTTATATATTTTCCTGTCACCTTAGACTTTAATATTTAAGTTTAACCAAACATATGAAAATTAATCTACAAAATATTCCGTTAAATATAACCCATATAAAGAATGATCTATGCTATAGTATACAGTGAGTCAGTGACAATGTAACAATCATTTACACGATCAATGTAATTTAACATATTATAATATGTTAGTTATTATTGTTACGAAACTGTCAATGACGTTAATGATTAATATTCATTTTTCATTTAACAGATTTAATCAATACTTCTCATAGACAGGCTATATACAAAAATTTACATTATATTTTATACTCATAATAATATAAAAAAATAAAAGAAACTGATTATTTCAGGGTGAGAACTGAGGCCCATGCAACTGTCACTATTCTAACTTTTTCTCTTTTCTACACAAAAGAATAATGAGTTGAAAAAATTAAAAACAAAGAAAGAGAGGAAAAATCAAAGTTGGAACATTCACCGTAAACGACGCCGCTGCGGTCAGGTTGCCCCCTTCCCCCCCCACCCCGCCC